TCGCTAAAAAATCCTCCTCTTTAATACCAATCTAACTAATTTATATAAGTTCTTTACAGAATATTTCCAATGCTTGGCTATTTTTCATGATTTTTGGCATAAGTATCCTGAACTCATATGCATTACATTTTCCTTATTCTAAAAAATCAATCTCAAAGGAACGTTCTTTTTGTGTATCTTTGCAAAGTGAGTTCATATTTTACTTTTCAATTTTCCCCTTGCCCACACAAACGCTAATCGACTTAAGTCATTTTAATAGAACATAATTTTTCATAGAAAGCCCAGCATACTCATACAATCGAGCCAAAATAACAGGACCAGTATAAAAAAAATTAACCAAACCACTCTATATTGCTCTATTTAGGTTTTCAATTTTAATTTTTTGGCTCGATTGAGCCTATATAAGAAGTAAGATAGAGCCGGATAATGTTCCTGCTTTAGTGTTAACATGAGGCTCTTACGAGCAACTTCATTCACTTTCATGGAAACTGAAAGTCCCCCTAACAATAAATTAGATCAACCCATATGTGACGATTTTAATTAAGATTTGTTTAGCTGAAATAGGATCACCTTAATGAGATGATGTTTTTTGAAATTTGATGAGATTTATTGAGATATGATGTGATGTTATGATAATTTTTTAATGAGATTATATGAGATTTTATTTCTTTGCTTCCACCTTATTTTTTATAATATTTAGTGATGTCTGCATTTTATTTCCCGCATATAGCTCTTCTTGTTTTTCTTCAATTCCAGTAAATTCTTTCATTCCTTCTTCTTCTTGCTTTCTTTTTGCTTCTTTCCTCTCTATCAACCCTTTACTGGATAACTGTAAATTCTTCTTTTTTGTATGCGACATAATCTTGGACTATACTATTTGTTGTTCGTTTCAGGCTATTCACCTACAACTTTTGGCCGTCTGTCTCCATGGTCCAGCCTAGTCTTATGTATTCTTTTTCTACTCGTCTCCATGCTTGTTGTCGTGTCCACGAGCCTTGCCATATGCGGCCACTTTCTCGTAGGCCTGGCCAGGCTCTAAGACTTTGTTTGGACGGTTCTAGTCTCTCCTCAGACTGGTTGGCCTAGCAACCAATCGGCTAGTTGCATCCCAGATTGGCCGAGGTTTGCCTCGCCCTCTCGCCCTCTCGCCCTCTCGCCCCTCTCCACCTCCTTCGTCCCCTTCCTCGGCCCGGTCTGGCCCCATCCAGACCCAATCGGCTGGTGTGATGGGCAGCCGCTCTGGCCTCTACCCTCTCGACCTGACAACCCAGTTGGCAAAACAACTTCTTCTCGCTTCATCATCTGACACCCCGTCCCACGGACTACCTCGTCATCGGCTCCCCGACCCTCCAGACTCGAGCCCGACACCGCCGACATCGCGGATATAGCCAGCCTCTTGACAATTTTGTCCGAACTCTCGCCTTTGTCGGCCTCGAATCCTGTACGTCTGTTTCTCAGTGTCTGTGTTTGTGTGTCAGTCCAGCAAGTGAGCCGGCTCGCCATATCTGGGATCTTATTTGTACCACAAAAGTGTGCACTCGGATCTATCCTCAACGAGTTTCTGACCAAAAGCATGGCTGTGATGAAGTTGAGCTGTTACGAGACCTTCGGTAAGAACTTCGTCGACTGACCAACTTTTAATATCATTGCATTTGGTTCGAGGGGTTCTTTAAAGGCATCATCTTTTTCGCCGGCACGAAAACTAGTTTGATTCAGTCTGCCTTCAAAAGGGGTTCACTTTCATTTTCATTTCGATGTACTACTTATATATATATATAGTGAGTAGTTCCTGATTTTAACCTCGACTATTGCCTCTATGGGCGTCATACAATTACGAAAGATAGCTATTTTAATTTTGCCAAACTGATTTGATACAATATAGGTAAATAAATATAGTACAATATATATATTTATCAGCTGCAATACCTGAGGTATGCTTTAGAATACCATTTAATTTCACCTAGCCTTACCCAGGCTGGATGAGAGTTCCTACTTCGCTCTATTTTCATCAGCATCACAACGGACCTCGAGCCGGAGTAGTGGTAAGCAACGCCTCAGAATCACCAAGTTTATATTGGAAGTGATGATGAGGCAAATTTACGTTTGCGATTGCACTCGGCCATGCTACTTATATGCATTGTGAGTAGGTTTCTAGTATATTTCGCAAGAGTATGATGGATCGATAATTTAATTTTCCACAAAATGATTAAATATAATATGAGTTCTCCCAAAATTCTGCAGGATGCCATTAAATTGGGCCTAGCCTTGCCTCCTAAATAGTATTATCTTTTCCGAGTTCTATTCATCAGATTGTGGGCGAATTCAACTACCACTCCTTCCTCACCTTAAGTGACCTATGCTGAATAAAGTTCTACTTCCAGCTCGACATCTTTTCTCTATGAACTTTGCATGCTAAGATCGATCATTGGCGCTGTCAAGTAGCGTTTGAGTAGTATAGAAGTAGATTTAAGTAAGACATTGGTTAACCTATACTTCTAAATTAGCCAGAAGTCTTCTAGACTGAATCATTTAATAGTGTTAATAACTACTGCACACAATGCTATTGATAGAATATAAAGGGTTCAATGTCCATATAAATAGAATATATACTTGAACGAGGGAGTAGGAGGGTACAAAACAATTCTCCCTGCCAACTATCAAGTTTGCCTTCTCTTATGACAAGGGAACTTGGGCGAATTC